TTTTTGGTAGTAAAAGTTCATCATCGTGGTGACTTTTATACCCTTTTAAAGATCATTTTCGTGATGACGAGCGACAAACTATGAAGACATGCTTCAAACGTACAAAAACAACTTAATTAAGATCTCGCGTGTGATAGCAGAGTCATTTTTTAAGAACAGACTGTGAATTGTTAGAAACGTAAATAATGTATGAAAACAATCAAAATACGCAATAAACAAACGAATCGTCATCGCCGACTTCAACGACTCCTAATACGATTGCGTATACATTGGATTGCGGCGCCTGAAATAATCGACAGTTAAAAAGTAGCCACACCTGCACAAAATATTCTCTTGAAATCCTTACGTAACAGATGCTATATTTAGTAATAAAAGGAAATTCATCAATACTATTTTGTAACTCTTCCTCATCCCATCACATATATGTTAGAAAAGTTTGACCGATAAGGGATAAAAGTTAAATCAATGTAAAAAAATCTCAAAATGTTTTCAGCTTCCCATAAATAAAGACTTAGAATCACCTTGGAGGACGCGATCTCGCGCCACGATAACCGCCACCGTAAATATACTTAACGATAACACGAGCTGCACCACGACCACGGCCACGAGGAGGACGGTTCGTAGTACTGACTCCTGGCTTATTCGTTCGTTTAGCTGATACCTAAAAACATAAACGTCACCTAGTTCTGGAAAGTTCTGATGAAACAGCAAAAAAAAAACTAAAATTACGCAACAGGTCCCGCCTATTCTAAAAGGAAACAAAAGATGAGGGAACAACAACCTTTATTTGGCGGCCGCGAAACAATGACTCATCCAACTGTAATGCTGTTTGAACAGCTTCTTTATCAGCGAACTCTATGTACGCGAAGCTAAAAAGTGAAGCACTACATACTGACAAAAAGAAAACGATTCAAACTAACAATAGCGAGCTAGACAAGATAATGAGATATGAAGGGGAATTAAAAAAGTAACTACAGTAAGTTACGAAGAGATCAGTTTTGTCTAAAGATATATCACAAATTTCAACTTACCGCCCATTTCATTTATAACGAGTAATAAAAATAAATAACTCCTCAACATATAATCTGAGGTGAAGGAGAATCAATTATACAATTGAAAAATAACTTGTAATGATTTAAAAATTTCACCCTTTCGGATGCCCAGAAAACTTGTCTGTAAGAATAGTCACTCTGTTAACACATCCGCAGCCGTGGAAATGTGCAGCTAGTTCTTGTGCTGTTGAACAGTAATCTACCTGCAATATAAATCAATTCTTCAGAAAAGCTACATCCTAAATCCAAAAGTGTAATTAAGTAATTACTTCGTCTCTCCGCTTTACCCCCGCAATTTATTGTTATTTTTATTGTCTAGTGCAATAAATTAAGATTACCCATAAATCTTCTAAAATTACCACAAAACTTCACAATCTTGAAAAAAGCTGACAAAGCTTCCTTAAACTGTAAACCAGAAATGGTCGAGGCCCAGCAAAACCAAAGCGGGTTTAAATTAGAAAAAGAAAACTGAATACAATTTAAATAAGGTGACCCGAAAAATAAAAATATTTACTGTCACTTTACCAAAAATTAAAATTAATTATCTGAGGAAAAAAAATGAAATAGAACTGTGAAAGAACAACCATCTAACGACTCAATAAAAGATTTATTGAGAACTCATTCGTCTTCCACGAGACAAAACAATAAATGGAAACCCTACATTGCCAACGTATACAGAACGACTATCAGCTTCCATCTTCTCTTCCATGGAAAGCTGCGGAGGCGCGTTGCCGCTGCTCGTAGTACTCATGTTCATCTGTTTCTCAACGTCATTTTGCATCTTTCTGATCATCTGAGCTTCTTCCTCAATTTCTTTCATTCTGTTCCGTAAAGCTTCCACATCCTGTAAACAAAGAAATTAATTATGTCCTTCAACAACGTGACACTTTAAAAACCATTCCATTAACATATTACCTTTCAAAGATTTGTCAGTGTCTGGAATTCAAGAAATACCTATTCAAACCCGTTATCTCTTTTACTGCTTTGCCATTTGTGACAAAATAAACAAACCGGCATAATATGAACTCACTAATTCAAAAAAGAAAGCTTTGCGAAATCCTTTAATGCGCGCCTTCTTGGCCATCTTTCTCAAAGCTACCGTTAACAACATGACTTTATTTAAAAAATACGTTTGAAAAATCTTTAAATAACTTCCTAAATTTCGCGCGCTTACAGGGTCTTCACTCAGCGCTTCATTCGAAGTTGCTAAATTGGTGTCTCCATCCAAAATACCCTCATCTTCGATATGAAGATCATTATCGTCTACTGATATATCACCCATGACCTCTGGATAACAAATTACTGAAACTTCTCGCCTGGCATTATAATTTGAACGAAGCATTTCCATAACGGCCAAAAAGCAAATTAAATATCGCTCGAAAAAAAAACAACTATACATGCACATAAATCAGTCTTCTGAAAATGTTTGACAAAAGGCAGTAACGTCATGTGCAACACCTAACCTTTCTGTAAATGTAAAAGTAATGGTTTTATGACTAAAAACACTGCAGCAAATTAAACATAAAAGGGAAACAGAACGACTAAAAGTGGTCTAAAATATCTCACTGACTTTTTCTAGACAACTTGCATCGAAAAAAAGAAGACCAACAATACTTCTGAAACGATCAGTGATTTTTTCTGTAAACATGAAAAACCGCGAATAAATTATCGCTTTCGGGAACTGCTATTACATAATACAACCCACGTACTCACTGAAGACCATAAATGAAAAATGAGTTGAAAAAACTAAGATAAACTAAGGCTTCAAAAAAAAAAAAAAATCTTTACTACAATAACCCATAACAAAAAGTTTTAAATGTCCAAAAAAGGAAAGAAAAAAAGCAAAAAAATTAATACAAATTTACGAATATGACCGGCCTTCTCGTGACCATACTTCGTTTTTTCCATTTAACACACACCGACAACTGGCACATGGATAAATAGGCAAAAAAAAAGAAATAAAAAAACCATTCTGAGACAATCTCAATTGTTGTTTCCACCAATAGAAGAAAAGTCATCTTAAAAAATTGATAAAATTGCCAGATGTAGCGGAATCTTCGCCGTTTAATATAGCAGTTCAGTAATGCTAGTTTATGTCTCCACGCTACTCCAAAAACACACAGATTGTAGCGAAAGCCACCAATTCCTCGGTAAAGTTCGTGCCAAACAGCCAGGCAAACCTTCTAATTGCGCACCAATAACAGCATCATATTTTAAAGCGCGCGCTTTTTGAATATCGAGTAAAAGAGTTAAGGAATCGGCAATTGGCAGAAGCCTTTCGCCCTCTTCCTTTTCGTGTAGCCGGTAAAAATTCTTCTCTTTTATTCCTCTTCTCTAACGTGGTTAAAAGACTACTAATATGTTTTGCCAATTTACACTTACGTTGAATAATGAAAAACAAACTAATGCTTGTTACTTCGGCTAAAAGTTTCTTCCTTCTTGGCAATTTAACAGTTGCACTATAAAATTGTAAGGTTTAAGTGGACAAATGACTGCTTTATTTGAAGATTGTTTCTTCACAACTTTAGGTAGCTTCTTTTAATCTGGGAACGCTTTTTCCAGATTTTCCAGGGACAGAAAAAATAAAGAGACTAAGAATTATTTTGCAAAGCACAGTGATTAGTTGTTCAAATACATCAAAAGATTTGCGCATAAAAGTAATTATTCTTCAAATTGATGATAACGAAATGTTCAAGTTAAGTAGCCGTGTAAAGGCCAACTGGATAAAAAAAAAAAAGAGTTGGTGAACTAGTTGCAAAAAATTCTGCCAAATAATTATTTCACATTCTCCTTTTATTTTTATTTTATTTTGACTAAACGATATTCAGTGGTGTCAGAAATTTGGCATCGCTGAAGCACCATGTTTAATTGATTCCTGAGTTATGGCATCTTCTAGAAATACTGCAAGTTATGCTACTGGACTGAAAAAGAAATGCGTTTTTGCTAGAGTGAAGCATCCGTGATTAAAAGGATTTTTAAAAACGTGTAATTCAACGTATTTTTACCAGCGAGCTAAACTTTTTAAATATATAATTGGTGTTGAAGTTAAAAGATGATGTTTTTACAAAAAGTAGTTGAAGACGAGTCACTCCAAAAGTATTAGAGTGAAAAATTCTAAGGATGTTCAATTTTAGGCCGAAATGCTTTCATTTGCTTTAAGTCTAATAGCTTCAGATTTAATGGTAATTAAAGTCTGCACACCTGAGTACCGTAATCTATATTTCAAATATTCTCAGTTTGGATTTGACCGGATGGACTGTATGAAAAATTTACTGAGTAATTAATCAGCAGTATCCCATTGAAAAAAAGCTGATTCTGCAAGATTAGTATTGCCGCATTTCTGGATTAGGATACTGATTGCCCTTGTACCTGTGTGCTGTGATTCAGTGTGATATCCTAACCTTTGGAGAGTGATGAAAAAATAGTAGAATTATCAGTTTCCAAATTTTTTTTGACACCATTTGTCAGTAAAGCTGAAGACCAACTGCACCGTCATAATTGCAGAATGATTCCCGTAACTATGGAAGTTTATGGTGTTTTCTTTCGTCTCAAGAAATGAAGGAATTATTAGCTTTATATGGACACGAAACTTCAATGCACTTTAATCCGTAATATTTTTTGACTCATAGCTTTAAAATTTACGTCTTCTTTAGTCATATTTAAATAACGATCTCCAGTAAATTAAAAAAGTGTTTATTTAACACAGTTCAACAGTCGGGTTTATTTAGAAGAAAAATTCTACGACAAAATCTTCTCCTTCACAATTTCAGCAACTTTTTAAAGTCCAATCGTCGAATCAACATTAATCAAGCCGCCTCTTGTACTTTTTTGTATGATAACAAGGTTCTTTAAAAACTAGACGTTACCATTTCCCAATTATTTGTTTATAAATAACATTTTAATAGACATTCAAAAAGAACTTCCACTGTGCTTGCCACGTTTGGCTTTTATTAGATTAATTTCTAACACCTAGTGAGTGTTTATTTCCCAATTCTACTTTAAAAAAAAAAAAACACTCAAACACACCAAACACACCAAATTATTCTTGCCATCTGCAGACTTCACTTCCCTTCAATCGTGACGCTAACCTTGAAACAAAAGAGAAAACTATTGTCTTCTCTAATGGGTGAGGCACATTTAACTTGCCAACGCCCGAGAAGTCACTTTTTCTGATAACTGGACTTCCGATTTCTCTACAGAGCTTTTCAAATGACCCTTTCTGCCAAATCCTTTTATAAAACATTTAGATGGAGAGTATCCATTATTCCGGATAATGATGAATAAATGAAGTGAAATTCAACGGACACACGAGTACTGTGACCGCAACCGTAGTCTGAGGATGTCAGATATTCGGAACTCTGTCCACACTGTTTTAGTAGTTCAGTGGAATGAAAGGACCTTAACAAATAAAAATCAGTTGTATGAGCTTCACTAAAGTTACAAGATTTTGCTAATTAACCAGCGCTTTACTAAAAGTCACTTTTTTGACAGAAACCATTAAATTTACCAGAAAAAGAAAGTGCAAATTAGAGAAATAAACAGAAAGAAGATGTTTCTAGAAGATGTCTGATCCGTTAAGATATAAAATCGTTTGTCTGACAAAAGAAAAACGCTGAAAAAGTACGTCAGCCAAAAAGATTGAAAATCAGCAATTATTTCAACCAGAAAACCACAACTGGTCTACAAGAGATGCTGTCGATCTCCAGCAGGACAAATTCCAAAGATTACCAAATTCTTCTTTCAAAGCACGTTAGTAGTAGCGCGAAAGTTTTGGAATTAAAAAGTTTGTATTCAAAGCCAAATTGGTGTGTAGAGTTCTGTGTGAGCATACTTAGAGGATGACATTCAAGTAGGTCCTGCAAACCAAACCCTTAAATTTTAGGCTCTCTCTATACATCCGGTTCTGCTTCTGCAGTGTATATAGTGCATTCTGGGATTCTGATGGCATGAAATTCCTAATTTCCAAGCACAAGAATAAAAATCTTCATTAATTCTTATAAAATATGATATATATATATATATATATATATATATATATAT